TTGTGATTTGTTTTATTAAATAGTTTTTACTGTAAGCCAACTGACTGGGCAAAAATATATTATTATTATTATTATTATTATTTAATTTGCTTACTAATATCCAACTTTCTGCTTCTCATCGTTGCAAAGTTCTAAAATACCCTATACCACTTGTAAGAATACCCATTTTTTGTGATATTGTTTTGGAAAATATGCTCGGCATTCTGCAGAGCGTAGCTGCTTCTGCATCCTGTAGAGCGACAAGTGTTGAGAAAAGTTTTCCCGGAACTTGATCTCAAGATCCTTCTTGATACCAAGAAGGGTCTTGGTGCGATCGTCAAGTTCTTAGATTCATTACCGCAACTTCTTTGCTGATGAGCCTCTTGATTAAGCAGCTTGTTAAGGTCTTACTGAGAAAATTCGGCGCCATCGAACGTCTGAACTTATTGTGCGCGCTGACACCGCTACCTTACCAGTCTCATAGAAACAAATGTTTTGAAATTTCATGTCTTCTTTGTATATCATTTTGTTTTGCAATTTTGTATGTAACTATTTGATGTAAGGACAATAAACTGATTATCTATCTATCTATGCTAATTTTCAGCACATTGCGCAAGTAACGGTGGAGGTTCGAACAACTCAATCGTAATTATAAATTCAAAAACCAGCAAAGTTTCATTACATTTATTTTTTATTTTCCTTTATCTGCTTTATTTTGTTGAAGAGGTCATTCCCAGGCTTCTTAAATAAAGCATCTCGATACCTGGGGAACAAAATACAAATAAACTAACAGATACAATCGCTTTCAATCATTTGCTAACTACATTTGCTTTCACTTGAATTGCTACTTCTAAAATCGAGCGACCTAAAAAACCTTTCATCTGCTTTGACTTTGTTAGTATTGCCAGTATATTGCAAACAACTAGGGGTATTCTGAACACACCAGATGTCAGTTACTTCTTCAGAGGCATCTTCTTTGGTGTCAAAGTTCGACAGTACTAGGTAGATTGGTTTGATCTAAGAAATATGTAAGCATCATCTAACTAAATCTTTTAGTCCTTACCTTTATGACGAGGATGACAATTATAGAAAACAGAACCCTAGGGTAATAAACGAAAGAGGTAATGGTCGCAGACTCTCAGTGGTGAATATTTGCCGGCTAGAACACATAGAAGAGTGCGCAATACCGCCATCAGCGCAAAACTTAGCTTCGTCTACGATAAGTGATTATGAACTTTCGGATCTCTATGATAGTACAGACAACTCTAGTCTCCCAACATTGGGATCTATCAGCCACGAAGAAGAGAACGGCGTTAATGTTGCAAGAACCGGCAGCAAAAATATTAATGAAAAAGATGAAATAAAAAGAGATAGCATTTATGACTTTCCCGTGCTGGGGTTTACACAGCAGCCCCTCAGGTCCAGTCTAGCGAGATTGCGCAGTTCAGCCAGCTTTAGCTTGAGTCCACGATCGGCTCGAAGTTTCAACAGACGGCTTACATTTTTGACAACTCTGGAGGCTATTCCACAAGAGGTAGAAATTCTTACACTGAAACGCCTGGCAAAATCTATTCACATCAGCTTAAATGATCCCAAAATCCTATATCCTTCGTTAATAACTTTTGGAAAGCTTCTTCAGGATGTATGTCGCCGTGCTAACTACTGGTCCTGGGCGCCTAACTTTATGATGTTTTTGGCGCTTTTCATTGATGGCCAGCTTGAGGAAGCTGTTGATGACATGGTCTCAAAATATGCTATTTATCTGTTTAACTTCTTTTGCTGCTCCATGTGCGAATACAATTCGGAACGTGAGCCAGTGTTGTACAACTACTTTGTGAATTTTTGTATTCCTCAGCTCATGGATACTGTTGGAAAATGGAAAACTCGTGAGTTTGATCCGTTCCTTCTCACGCTTAGCTATATTTTTTTCAAAGTGCCAATCGACCAAGAAATACTGGACACCGTGATTGCCATCCGTAAAAATCGAGCTGCCGGCTTTTTCGCCAGTGCACAGGAAGACCTACGATATCAGCGTGCACTTTGGCTTAGTGCTATATCACATCAACTATTATTATGCATTAAGCGTCATGAGAATGTTGAGGGATGCAAGGCAAACATTTTACAGTGCTACAAAGAAGCTATGCTGTCACATAAGAGTGAAAAGAGTCTCAGAGTTGCAAAGATCTACGAAACTTACTTTGACATCAAGTCAAGAAAGTAAGCTTAAAACCATTAAAAAATTGTACATGTATACCTTACTAACATTTTTATCTTAGACTCAAACATTTGTTTGAAACGGAACGTTTTCTTTATGAAGACCACATTATCAAGTTCCCCCAGGTGATTACAGCCCATCTTAACCAAGCCATGCAAAGCCTTAATCCAGAAAAGCCCAGAAGACTTGTTAGGAAAATTAAAAGCATGTTTAGATCCGACCAGACGCTTTAATCCAAAAAATGTACCAAAATAATATTCAGTTGAATTTCATTTTTGCATCAGTTAGGCTTATTTTTTGTTGCGTAGCATTTCTTTATAGTTAGAGGTATATTGCTCTAACAATGTTTGTAGATTATGTATACATTATTTGATTTTTGTATTCGTTTGTAAAGCAAGAAACAAATTTAAATTTCACTGTCATGATCATATCGTCGGTTATAATTAGTGTATAACTTTTATAACTGCGACCAACAACCATAAATCAAATTACCCCTGGACTTTACAGAGTTTTTGCTGCCACTAATTGATTTTAAATCTCTATAATGCCATAATTTTCAAATTACTCTGAGAACAGAAACTTTTGAGATGAGAGTCTACATCTAACTTCAGATTTGATAACTAACTCTCCAAGAGTCAAAATGAAATAAGCAAACTTGCTTCTGGAAAGGAAAAAAAAGCGTGAAATATTTACTTGTATGCAGAAACTTTTGTCGATCATACTCCAAATTTCTACTGTCTCACGTTGCAAACCTCGTCAGAAGTAAAACTTGACTTATTGAAATTAAAAGTTTCATATGTTATCCTTTTAATTACTTAATATTGAACTTAGCATTAACATGCTATTGGGATTTTGTTAATATTTGGAAGCAGTGTTAATATATAAGTGGAATTGAACAAGACCAACTTCATGGTGGTAAAAAGAGTAAAAAGTAAAAAAGAAAGAAAAACATTGAAAATTGAGAAATTATTAAACTAAAGATATAAATATTTGACATATAGAACAGAAAGACCAAATTTCTAACTATCAACACATAGAGAGATGATATTGTCTTTAGCATTAAACTCCACAGAGGTCAACACCAGGTCGCTTAAATCATGACCCCAGATCCCGTATTTGCCGTTGGTAGTGTTACGGTTCAGCATACCAGGAATGTTTCCAGGCGTTACTGTTGTTGTTGAATTCTCTTCATTATAAATCTCATGGTAGAGCTCGTAAATGCGATCAATAATTTCACCAACTGAGACACAGCCTTTATAGAGCGTGCTAGTCGCTGGTCGCAGAGGAAACAAAAAGTCATCTTGAAGCGGGTAATCGATAACAATCTGGGTCTCGTTTGTAACCGCTTCTTCTCGTAAGAAGACCTTGTTACGGTCAATGTAGTTTTTAAACTCCTCCGGGTTAGAAAGATCGAGAAACCCCTCGATGGTCAGTTCAACGGTGTCGCTCTGAGTCATGTTGTAAAGTGTGTATGTGTATAACTTGGCAATTGAAAAAAAAAAAAAATCAAGTAATAGTATATTATAGTATTCGATTGTAATAGAGATGGATGAATGTTGATCTATGCTCATCGATGAATAAATTAGGCACTTATATAGACTTTAATGAAATTTAACGTAGTAAAATAATATGCCTAAAAATGTTTTAAGACATTAAGGTTTTTGTTGCATGTGGGGCGAGGTCAAAGTGTCATTTACTGGCTATTGGTAACCAGCCTGACTAAACAGAAAAATCCAAGGCTTTTGGAAGTTGATATTCTTTGAATTAAACCTGAAACGAGAGCTTAATCGTTATTGTACAATCAATACATATGAATATTCATTCTTGAATACTATGAGGTATATACCTCGAACTTCCTAAAGC